ATTTATTTAAATATGGTCGCCAAAAATGTATAAAGTTATACCTAATTTCTAAGAATTTTCAATATCAGCAGTTTTTGGCAATGACATGTTAATACTAGTATTTTATTTYAATATGAGTTAATTTGATCTCTATATTTTAATTTGGTTTTCGGTTTTCAGCATGTTACACCTAGATTTAATGAAAAGCATCATCCACTATTTATGTCAACACAGCAAAGGTTGGTCAAAGCGAAGCTTTTAAGTTTTGTCCGATTTGTTCTTGTATTTCATTGCRCACATCAACTAATAAAAAGTAGTCGTAGTTAGCATTTATATTTGCTGGCCCACGGAGGTGTATTAATTTGTATTGCGTGGAATAATGTGAAAAAAAAATAATAATTATAATTCATACTAAGCAACAATGGTGGCCTAAGAACTAACGACATTTTCCCATTTCTGCGAGTGTAATGTTCGCACTTAGTAGACAAATGGAAGGAAAAGATCGTTAATTTTTTGACCATGTTTTGTGCTATTGCTATATTGTAAGGTAATAATAAATAATACATACCATATATTTAATAATAGCTTTATCTCGAAACCTGTGATGAAAGTCGATCGTGGTCGCATATCGCCCGCGGCAGATGCAGCTGCAATAGCATTAAATAATGATTTAAGCCATAAGGAGGATCAGGATGATGGGTAAGTGCTTTTCACTGAAAATACATAGATAAATAGTAAAGATTGAGGTTTTGCACATATGGTCACCAAGGTCCAGCATTCTGAATTATTATCTAATTTGTTTATGCAAAGCTTTGCGTCGGAGGTAAAATTACGCCCGAATTCTGATTTGAATGAAATCCTTGAAGCGATGAAGCATCCCTTAACCGGTGTAGCTTTCTTCACTCAGACTCCTAACTTACCATGCTACACCTTTGTTTCACATGAGGCCTTGCTTTGGCTCAAATCACGTTTGGACAACAACAAAAATCCATTAGACATATTGGAAGCCATGCGAAGGTAATAAGTATTTTATTCATATTGTTATTTAATAAAATTATAACAATTTTCAGAGAGAAAATGATTTGTCACGCTTCGGGAGATTGGGATAGGCAAATTATACCTGGGTTTTATCTTTATTTTATAGTGCAACAAGAAAAATCGATAAAAGGTGAGAGGATAATAATACTTATTTATTCTTAAGAAATTCGATACTTTTTACAAGGAAATTATATTCACAAATTTATATTGTTTTCAGAGGTACCTAAACCTCTTTTGGATTTAAGTGCTTTTGAGAATGAGTGGATGGAGATCGAATTACAGGGGTGTAACCATTTGTGGACTGATGAAACGAAGATTCCGAATATACCCACATTCTTGCGAGAAATACCTTCGGCACAATCTTGGGCAGATTATAGCCAAAATAGTGAGTAAATATGTATTAAATAAGAAATATGCTTAAGCAATATTCTTACAGAAAAAATATACCGTCATTCCCATTTGGAAATCAATGTCAATCAAAAGAGCGAGCGTATGGAATGGGGTCATGTGAAGTATCATACTGTTATGCAGCCCGGATATGCTTTCGAAATAGTCGTTGAGTGGGTCACGGCATCTGGACCGATTGTGGGAGATTTGGTATGTGTACATACGGACTTATGAAAAAAAGCAAATTAACAGTTTTTTTTATTAAAATTTCAAGATTTGGAGCTGGACACGTAAAGCAAATCATTGCAATTATGAATTGATATCAGTTCCTGCTGATCCGATGGCAGAACCATTTACAGAGAAATCTGATCCACTCCGTGGTCCCATTTTTATACCGTTATCGGAGAAATTTTTAAGCGGCAAGAGTGTTATGTTCGCCGGTAAGTGATGATACATAAATAAATTCTTATTTAATGCCTTTAAAAATATAATAATTTCATAATCTATGTACGCATTAGAATTCGCTGAAGAGAGTAGAGCTGATCGTATGTTATTATTTCATGAAGCTATTCTTGCAAGGTACGGTTTTTTGCCATGTGTGATAGAAAAAAAGTATTCGTTTAACAAAGATGTAAGTACCTCAGTCATAATACACCTTACAATATAAGTAAATTGCCATGTTTTCTTTTATATTCGCATAGGTGCCTAAGGAATACCAATATGTACATTGTTCCGGACACATGTTTGTGCTTATTCGGTAAGAAAAATTACTAACAATATATGTTAAAACAATTCGTGAATATAAGATAATTATTGATTTCTACAGTTGTTCAAAAAATAACTATCAATTTGAGTCTCCGAGCCGACAAGAAGCGAACGTTACCCGATGTGTGTATGGGCATACAAATAATACTAATGTACCAAAGAAGGTGTTATCATGCATATAATTGATTTTGAAAGTAATGTTATGTTAATGATATATTATACTGGTATATTAATAGGTTGGATTTTTATGGGCCTGGAATCACATGATTCCCAATAAGAAGTGGAAATCATTGGTAATTAAAAATTCACAAGACGGTGAGCTTTTTCAATTGAAAATGCTTAAAGATTTTCGTGATTTTTGTTCGGATGCTGATGAGCGACTCACTAAATTCTGGGAACATTGCCATGAATTGAAGCGAAAATCTTTAAAAATGGATAATATCGTCGAAGGAAAAGTTAAATAGTTACAAAAGTCGAATACATAGTTTTTAGTTCTAAGTACGTATTCATATGATTCATTTATTTTAAAAAGGGTGGTCCAATAAAAACTATTTCAAATTAGTTAAATGAATATCTGTAAATTTTGATGCCCTTATTAAATGAATTGAAAATGTTAATTTACAYAGTAAAAGTGTTGCTCCCTTTTAAAAAGTAATATAATTTTTTTGAGATGAAAAATTGTGATATTTCTGAAAGGGTTTAAAATTTATGGTTCCTTTTGAACCAAAACTATTATATACTAATTAAACATTTAATACAGAAATTTTACCAATTGCAGTTTGCAAAATAAATAAATAAATTTTGTCTATAGAATTAATCTTTAATTKAAATATTTTTTTTTTGATATACTGAAATTTTTCGGAAGCAACGATATAAAGAACTTATTTGATTATTTGGATAATTACCATGGTCATTATTTAGTATATAGTATGTATGTATATCCTAAATCTGCTCCAAATAAGTGTAAGCATATTGTAATCTTTGTTGACATTGAAAATAAAGCAGCTGACCGAAAATTTTGCGCTACCATACATACTTTTTCTTGATACAACTCAAAAATATATACTTATTTTACGGTATTGTCGTATTTATATTTAACTTCAATAGATTATTTTAAAAGCTAAAAGCTGTTTTAATAATATTTTAATAGTTATTTATGATTATTATTAACATAAAAATATTTGTTCCATTTACTCTGTCAGTATGGCAATGTTGATGGTTTTCCAATTTTGACAGCCTGTATTGTTTTTGTTCTTGGTTTTTCTATTTAACGAAGTAATCAAAATACAGTAAAAATTTAGCAATTTGTCATGATTTAAAGCTTTGAAGGCAGCAGGAAGTTTTGGATATTTTATTGGATTGGACACATATGTCACAGAACATTGTGTAGATAAACAATGTATATTGGGTTCAATTGAGTRCTAAGTTTTAGCTGATGGGAAATGACACATGAAGTGATGTGTTCAAATGAAAGTGTTTGCCGGAGTAGTGTTAAATAGTTGAATTTATGATTGATGTTGAAGTATGCGGTTTAATGCACAAATATTAACAGCGTACAATTAGAATAATATATACATAGTTTATATGAAATTGAGTTCGAAAGCACAAAAGAGGAAATACTTGGAAATACAAGTTGTCAATACAAGAAATTGTAACTCAGCACTAACTTATTATTTGCTCCATCCAAAGATATACCTATATAAGTTCCAAAATTTTGTTTGCTTCGTTATTATTTGGTGTGGTTGTAATCATAGCTGTTGTCCTATTAGAAATTTATAAGTGGACAACTGATGTGACTACATGCAACTCCATGGCACATTTTACTTGGTAAGTATCTGGATGTATTTTGAATCCAATTTGTAGATAATACTCTGTATAAAAAAGTTATAAAAATATATACATATGTTTATACATACATAGRTAGGAAAATTTAATTCACTTAATATTTTTAAATTGAATTTGAATAAATGCGAATGGGATCAGTTTTGTTTCGCTTGTCACAAGCTGAAACATATAAAGATGGGCAGTGCCGTCAGCAAACGGCAAAAAGCTTATGCATTTAAATGCTCCAAATGTATATTAAATTAAACAGAAACTTAAAATTAAAATGTATCTACTGCGCGCAGAGTTTTCAGAGTGCTTGAATAAATCAGAATATTACTTATTCAAAGTGTCATATAATTCAAAAGCTTAAACATATTTACACCGTCAAATTTATACATATGCATGTACATATGTACATAAATTGTTTATTCAATTCAGCGGTTATTGACTTTTATTTGTTGACCACATCGCACAAAAAATCGAATTATAAAAGTTAAACTATAATTGTAGGTTTTTTGGGATTTGCAGCTTCCGTTATTTAATTAATTATTAATTTTGATTCCCAAAAAATGTACAAGTATCACATGCGATCGTATGTACATACATACAGATATGTATTTACTTATGTTGTTATTGTTCACTCCGTATTTGAACAAAATAAAAAACAATGTATAAATTCATATTACAGGTATAATAAACACAACCTGCCTCAATCAAATGTGAATCGTGCGGATACCGAACATCATGTACCGCTCTGTTCCATTACTGATGTTCAGTTAAGATTTTTGGTTCCAGATGATTTGACCGAGGTAAATATAATTGTAAACAAGAGCGTACTTCTAACTATTGTTTCCTATTAATCCTTTGTATATATTAATATTTTTAAGGTGAGAACATTATGCCAAGATTGGTTTCCCATTGATTATCCGTTATCATGGTATGAAGATATTACATCCAGTTCGCGTTTCTTCGCGCTAGCGGCTGTCTACAATCTGGCTATAATAGGATTAATAGTTGCCGAAATCAAACCATACAGAAATCTTAACAAAGAGGTCCCATCCTAATGTTCTTTAAAATATAAAAAGTTTCTTTTAACAAAATATTTATGTTCTTAGGATAAAGGGATTTTACCAGATTCCATGGGCCGTAATGCTGACATCGGTTACATACTATCATTGGGCGTGCATCGGAAACATCGGCGAAATGGGATTGGGTCATTACTGTTGGACTCATTACTAAATCATTTGACAACCGCTGAACGTCATTCAGTGAAAGCGATATTTCTACATGTGCTAACCACAAACCAACCTGCCATACAATTTTATGAAAAAAGAAGGTAATATTTTTTATATTTTTATTAAGAACTTAATATCAGTTGCTACAATATTTTATTTTTCAGATTTCATTTGCATTCCTTTCTTCCCTATTATTATAACATTCGGGGCAAAGGGAAAGATGGTTTTACATATGTCACTTACATCAACGGAGGCCATCAACCGTGGACATTATTATATCCTTTACAAATTTACTTTTCTATTCTAATTCAAGTTATGGGTGCAAGTTGATAAATCGAACTTTTGCTATATTCCTTAACATAAGTTATTTAGATGTGTAACAACATGTTCGACTTATCGACTTTCATCAGATATATTGTTTAAATTAATTTTATACATTTGGGTTCCTTAACTTCTTTATACAGACCACATCAAGCACTATGTATCGAAGTTACAGCATGCTGGTGCAGTTTTCACATGGATTTCGACGCGTTTGAGGCAAGTTGTACGTTGGATTTGTCATAAAACCGTGTCTCGTTTTAATTTTGCACATTAAGTTCAAGAATTTCACAGAAGCACCGAGTGGTATATTCGAAGGAAAGAAATAATCCAAATCTGTAGATATATAAGTGTATTTAGCACCGTGCTAGAGAAATTTCAAATAGGAAAATAGTTTGTTTTTAGTTATTATATATGAGTGATGATGAGAGATTTTTTAAAGAAATATGCAAACATAATCATGATTAAATTGTTGACTGCGTCCATACACACATACATATAGGCATATTGAATTGCATGGAAACTAATTTTAAAGTATGTATGTATATTATTTATAAGTATTTAAATTTCATAAAGGGTATTGGAACCCCTATGTATGGATCCACTGGACACAATCACTTCAGATAATATTAATCAATATCATTTGGCCCTTCACATATTTTATATGTCTAAACGTTTTGATTATGTTTGATTAAAAATTTAAAAACCAATTTTTTTCAAAATTTAACAAAAAACCATATATGTATTCCAACCCCAAATAATTTAGGAAAAGTGTTTTTGATTACCACACACAATTGTAGTCAGTTTAAATATTATTTTTTGCTTTTTTTTATTTTTTATTTTTAGTAACAATGTTTTGTGTGAATACCCTAGATTTTATTATTGTTAATTTTTTATATAAACCGATAGTATAGTCTCTCTGTTATATAGTATAATTTTATTCAGTTTCAGGTCATAAAGTACAATAGCCGAGCATCAATAAAGACAGTATAAAATAAAAAACATGCTGTCAGTTTTAAGAAATACGACAGAATAAAAAAAAACTAAATACTAAACTCAAATAAAAGCTTACAAAGCATATGTATGCCATCAAATACATATTTATATTTTATAGATCTACAAAACAAAGACCAAGACACCTCATTATCTTATATTTGGCTTGGGTATTGATGTTCGGAAATATCTGTTGCTCTAATTTACTATTACTTCATGCTCTATTAACGAACATGGTCTTATAATGAGTATCATGGGGGGTGTTAAAAGCTTTTATTTTTTGATCTATATACATAGTATTTGGTAAAGTATTTCTAAAATACTCAAATTCAATAAAACTATTTTTACTGCAATTTTTATATGTTTGTAGCAAATTTCAAAGTGAAATTCATGTTTAAATAAAATATGTTTAAGAAAATATACATAATCCATTATTTTTTATTAATTTTATGAGAAATATTCTTTTAGGCTAAACAAAATAATCATTAAGGCTTCGCTAATATTTTTTTATTTTGATATCTTGAAATCAAGACGGTGAATTCTTCATATTATTGGTAAAAAAAAAAAAGGATTGAAAGTATCACTTAGAATATTTTTATTTTGCTCATTTAGCCTATGTCAGTCGTACGCTTACGCTGACGCGAGTTATGTAGTTTCAGCTTTAGCCGGTTTGCCGTTCCGTTACGTAGAAGCGCTTGCTGTTTGAAAGGGGATCACTGCAATTTTTATAACTACGGTCACCCTGTCGTTTAATGAAACAAAACGTCAGTTTAAAGTTATTAAATGCGACAGTGAGTGATAATTTGTCAAGACGTAAACTTAAATTTTCACGTCTAAAATTGTCGCGAGAACTCGTATATTCGCATATGGAATGTAAAAGAAAAAACGCGGACTTTTACGATAAATAAATATCCTTCGCTCATTCAAATTCCTTCCTCTACAATTCGGCTCGCTTAGTCCATTAGTTACGGCTACGGCACAGTGATAAAAAATATCGGATTTCTTCAAAAGGGATAATAGTACCAAAAATATATCACTATAAAAGCACTTTGCAAGAAAATTATATGCTAAAATAATTTACAACACTTGGCACCTAAGTCATCGGGTTTGAAGAATTATCAGCACATTTAGGAATTTACAAACCTGCAAAATGATAAATTTCCAGCGTCGAATATTTTACATCTTGATTCTGTATATAAACACCGCATTCGCGTGGGGTAAGTTGAACTTCAAGGCAGCAATAAGATATTACAGATAAACGTGCAATATTATACAATAAGATTGTATAATTATCTATACCAGATAACCGAATGCACTGCACACTCACCTTTAGCAAATTTGCTGAAAGAATATTGCACCACAATATTAATAGAAGTGCATCAAAAATATCTACTCATTACATGTTAATAAATAAATAAATTAGGTTAGGTTTGGTGAGTTGTCCAACTGATAAAAAAGTGAGGAGTCAGTACCGGTATTAAAATGCGACAATGGAATGTACTCGTATTGCATTATCAGTAAATAATGCTGATGATAATTTACTTTTTGCACGCTGGAATGTCAATGCTATGATTTTTTTATGTGCAGAAAATGCTTCACTAACTCTTATGTAACTTATATATTTTTAGAAAATAATATCGAATGAACCTTTTAGACAGCTTAGAATTCAAAAGTATTACAACAATACAAGGATAGATATATTTGTGATTTAGTTTTTTTTAACAAAATTGTTTTAAAAGTGTGTATTGGTTTAATGCTACTTATAAATAATTTTTTGGAGAAGCTAAWTTTATATATGTATATGAATCTGTAATAAACAATTGTAATATGGTAAATTATGGAGTTCTGAAAGCCATATGTATGTACATACATATATGTAAACTGAACATACATATTTAATTTGGCGAATGACCTTTTGAGACAGATGAAACCTTTAGCCACTCGTTGCACGAAATAAAAAAGTATTTAGCTATACATATACAATATGTAAATATTAATGCAATTTTGTATTTTAATTTTGCATTATTTATTTGTTTTGATTACGGAGCAACGGATATCAGTTTTGCCGGCAGCTCGGCCATTACGATTGTCATTGCGGTCACGTATGCAATAATTGTGTTAGTGGTATATTGTGAATTCTTTTTTAATAGAGGCTGTTCGCTGTAAGGAGGTGATGGGTTGTTTATAACACACATATGTATGTCATTTATAATTACGATGAGGCTGTGGAACTACAGTTAACACAATCTGCCAAAGGTTTTGCATAAAACTAAGCGAAAGTAAAACTGCAAGAAGAATGAAACTGAACGTTTTTATTCTGCATTATACTGTATTAGATGTGAAGAGCTGACTTTAGCAAGCTATGGTTTGGAAGCGACCATAATATTCGCTATCATACATTTAGTTTCTAAAATATTTTTCTGAAAATGTTAATGAAAATGCTTGATATGCTCCTAATAACGGAAAAAATACAAGTTTGAACCATACAAGAATATATGTATATCAAGAATATAACTTTGATTAAACTTAGGGGTCTGTACGTAGATTTTTCTGGCAATTTTATATACATATACATATGTATATATTCTTGCGGTATTATGCTGAACATAGGCAAATAGCTTAGTTATAGAAATTAAGTTTGATCTTCAATTAATTTCAAAGAAGGCTACAGTCTGGACGATTTATTTGTAGGGAGCGTATTCACTTTAGCTCTGAGTACAGGAAAAAGTTAACTAATAAATCCGTAGAATACGGTGGATTCGATACCAAGCATGTAATTTCACCATGGCTTTAATTGATTTGTGATACTGAATCGGTTTGTTTGCAAACTCGTAAAGCAAGCACTTTCCTAAGAGATTTCGAATACATAATTTTTCATGAACGACTTAGCCGACTGAACAACTATTACACTTTTATTCATTTTGACATCTTTCTCCACTACATTGCCTTTTAAAATAAAGAAATACAAAATATGAAATATGGATATATTTTCGCTAAATACAAGCCAAGTCAGCAAAATTAAGTTTTTCATTGTAATATACTCGTAATGTGAATACATGTATATATTCCGTTATTTAATAAGAAGAAGCAAACTTAGCATGGTCTCAAGTAACGAAGACTAAAAAACTTTAAATAAATATTTATGTGCGATTTCGTGTATCATATTCTTATGTGTATATATACAAATTAAATGCACAATAATAACCAAGATCTGATGTGATCGCTGAAATTTGAATTTGTAGCTATGCCAGTTATGTTTGCATTATCGTAATTTCTATGTATGTACATCGAAAATATGTGCATATGTATTTATGTACATGTGTACATACATTTGGATTAAAACCGCAATTCCGCGATTAGAGAAATTTGAAGTCCTACTGAAACTGAAAAAGAAAAAAATTAAAGTTAATGGCAGCGAAATAAACATTCTCATACGACGCAAAATTTCGAGAAACTTGATTTAAAATATTCACAATTAACATTCTTCATTAATTTACAGAAGTACTAGTATATACACATGTACATACTTGTATACGTATTTTGAATTTTTTTTTAATATTTCACATCAACCAAAAAACTGACTGCGAACAATTTTTGTATCTGAAAAGTTGATTCCTTCGTATTAGTTACTTCGAATTTTTAGCGATTATGTGGATTATATATATTCATAATTTGATTACTTTTAAACAGACGTTAAGACGTTATTTCGATTAAATTAAGACTATAAAGTAGCATGTTTATTTGTACTGTATGTATGTCTGTATGCACAATCAGCTGTTTTTCGAGAGTTTGAGGGGAATCCGCTCCCAAAATTTAGATGTTGATTCTCAAAAATTCTAGAAATGTGATGAGTTTGCTTGTTGTATTTATATATGTACATCTTATATATGTACATATATATTTTTATACAAATATATAAGAATACAATCCAGTTTATACATCTCGCTTTTGCCAATCAAATTCATTGCCATGCTCTTGATTATAAACTCATTTGAAATGCTCTCTTGTTTATGGTAGGCTTTGAAACATTGACGTCATTGTATAGCAAAAGCAAGCGCTACATGTGTATAGTATTATCACACACAGTGCCGGGTGTAATCAAACGATAATTTCGTTAACGCCACCACGTGCTTATCGCCATTCTACAGTAAAACGAATTCAATGGTGGGCCAATACAATAAAGGGATTGACTGGCAACACATCTGGGTCGGAAACGGGTTTTCTGATCGTTGAATATAACCGCATTTCTTTTCAATTAAGAGAATAATGTTAAAATTAGCATTACTCAGTGGAAAATCAGCAAGGTGTTCCATTGAAAAAACAATCGCCATGCTTGCTTTGATTTGATGTAAGTTTATGGGGAAAATGTATGTGATTTGAGCGTAAATGTCATAAGTATCAGAAAATCACAGCTTTTAGCACCACTTTGCCAAATACAATCCATAATATTTTTCCGATATAGTCTACAAGACAAATACATACGTATGTATACACATGCGTATGCATGTATGCGCATGTCTGTAAGTATGATAAAACAAGGAAAACAATTTGGCGCATGCACCAAAGATTTTTACACGGAAGTATCCAGTTTCAGAATTTCAGTTCCGTATTCAAAAATATTACTAAGAGCAGCGAAACGACTCACTTGAAGCATGCGCTTCTACAATACCTACTAATAAACATTATGAGTAATAAACAGAAACTACTTTCACTTGCATATATGGCTTTTATATAATCATAACAAAGATCTCCTTATTCAAAATAATACAGAGCTCATTATACACCGTGTACATATGTATATGAGAGAATAACTAAAAAACTATAATGTACAATGAACTTGATCTGGGATATACAGCTGCGAGCTGTGAAATAGTAGTGGGTGTTAGAGTTTTACATACCTGTGAGTTATTCTAAACAATTTAAACATCAATTGAAACGGAAAGGTTTATCATATTTCCTTGGCTACGTTTATTAATAAAAATATTTTAATTTGAATGGGTGTAACATACTTGTGTTTATATATGAAATTTGATCGGAGCAGTAATAGAGTAGTAAAGTAATACATTTTTTTTTTAAACTGAAGGATTTTTGGAAGTCCCGTCTATACGAGATATTAGTACTTGGTCATGGCCATGATTTTTAATAACAGCAAAACAACGAGACTCTGGCATCTTTTTAGTGGTATGTTCTGCCATGCTTGCTGCACTACGGTCCACAACTCATTGTTGTTTTTGGGTTTGTCATTCCATACCGCTTTCTTAACGTCTGCCCAAAGGTTTTCAATAGGATARAGGCCAGGCGATTGAGCTGACCTATCCATGACATCAAATGCATTGACCCGAAACCACTCCTTTGCCACCCTAGTGGTGTGCTTCGGGTCATTATTCTGCTGAAATATCCTTTTCAGCCGGATGTTCTCCTCAGCAAATGGTATCATAATAGACTACACAAAAAAATTGGGCCTGTAAGAAAAACACCCCAAACCGTGAAATTCAAACCGCCAAGCTTCATAGTTTTYTTTGCTGAATCTGGGGTCGTACTCTCTATTAGGGGAGCGTCTTAGATACTGACGGGACCCTTTACCGCCGTATAGAATAACTTTCGACACGTCTGTCTAAAAGATGTTGCGCCATATCTCAATCGGCAAATTCTCAATCAGTCCTTTGGCAAATTTAAGACAACTTGCTATATGATTTTTTTTATAACGGTACTTATCGAGGATTGCGGATAATAAATTATGTTCATGTAGAAGTCTTCTCACTGTATGAACACCGCAGGCCAGGTTCAGTTCATTACGAATCTCCATAGCTGACATTCTAGGTCGAGTATTGGCACATCTTACAACTATTGGTGTAAAATTCTCGGAAAGAATCCATATTGCGTCCCGTTTATCGTTTATCGTT